AATTAATATAAATATTGATTCTCTAATTAAAATCAACTGCTATACTGATCACCTGATATGACTACTGACAAATTTTAATATATTATTACAAATTAATAAAAAAAAAAAATTAAAATTTTTATATTTTAATATTAAATTTATTTATAAAATCATAAAAGTTATATTGATTATATTAAAAATAAATTAATATTAATAAAAAATATTTATTAATGATATGAATAAACAAATTACTAATATTTTTTTAGAATTTTTAATTAGTAAATTTAATAATGAAAATTTTGTTTATTTTATTTTTATAAATTTCTTAAATAATTATTAGAAAATTTAAATAATATACAATTAATATGTAATTTAATCAAATCAATATTAAAATCTTCTATATTTAATAGATATTTAATAAAAATATTATCTTTTAAATTGTAAGATAGGCAAATTTACTTACAAACATAAATTATAAGTATTAATTTTTTAATAAAAAATAAAATATTAATATTAATAATATAATTATTATATGAAAAATATAGTTTAATATATATATTATCAATTTTATTAGAAGAAATTTTAAATTTATTAAGAAGTTTTTTAAATAATTCAATTTTTAAAATTAAGTTTTAAAAAATATATTTTAATAATTTTTTAAAATTTTTCTTAAAATTTATATGTTTACAAACTAATTAAATCACTTTACTATTAATAAAAGTCATAAAATTTCTTAGTAAATTATAAAAATTATAATAATTAAAATTATTTTTCAAATCAAATTTTATAATATTCTATTATGATTAATATTATTAAAATTAGATGTTAATAAGATTGTCAAAGAATAATGATAAAATTTTTTAATTTATAATTTTTTTAAAATTACAAATTTTAGCTTATAAGTAACCTTAAATTATTTTTATATAATTAAAAAATAAAATTACTTTAATATTATTTATATTTATAAAATTAATTTAAAAAAAAAATTTTTTAAAATTTTAATTTTTCATAAAAATAAAATCAGAAGAGAATTTATAGTAAATAAGCAGGTAAATTTGCTTGTGAACCTCTACAGTTTAAGGGATATATAAAGAAATTCTTTAAGTATTGAAAAATTTTATTTTTTAATGATATATAATTTTAAAATAAAAATTTATTTTAGATTTTTAAAATTACCTTTTTTTATATATCTCATTTATTTTTAAAGTAAGGAATTAAATCTTTTTTTTTTTATGTGAGAAAAACTGAAAAACTGAAGAATTTTTACAAAATTCTATAGATATAAACCTTTGAGAATCAAAATTTAAAAACATGAATGAAAAGGTATATTTGATTTAAAAGTTTAAATAAAAAATATAAGTCATGTGTAATACGCTTTCTTTATAAGAGACCATCACGCGAGTTTCTTTTATGAAATTATGATTTTAATCGATTGCTCATGCACGCGTACATACAATAACAAACAAATAAAAAAGTAAATGATCAAAATCATTTTTTTTATTTACAAACAAATGTAAATCGTATGGAAAAAAAAAAAAAAACTTTTCATTTTACCCAACAAATATTTACTAACACCGATTCAATCAAAACAATCTTCATCCATAATCATCTATTCATCCTATCCTTAACAAATTTTTTTTTTCGTTAAGGAACAACCAACGTCTTTTCACATTTGTTGTCTAAATATATATATAGATTACTATGAAATCTAAGTAATAAATACATAATTACAAATCATACTATGCAACACCCATGCTTCTTAGTTACATATACAATACGTTATTTGTATAGTAATAAGCAAGCATTAACATCCCCTCTTTTATTTTATTTTTAAGGAAATATAATAAAAAGAAAAAAAAGGAAAAAAAAAAAAAAAAAAATTATATACGTTTGTCCAATAAGTTGGTTATATGAGAACTTGTCAATAAATCGAGAGTTTTGCTTTTTTTTTTTTTTGCCTACGAAAACTTCCGTGCATGACAATAAAAAAAAATTTTTTGACCAAAATTTAGATCCTCTCTTTTTACATTGACAAGTTGTTCAAAAAAATCATGAAAAAAAAAAATCATGAAACCAAAACATAATTATAAACTACAAATTAACAAAAATGTCATAAAAAAAAAAAAAAAATTTCCCCTTAAATATTATCACATCACTTCACATTACCCACCATCTAACACTAATGATATTAAAAATAGATAATTAGGATATGAATTACCAAAGAGTAAATCTATCAAAAGTATTATGAAAGTCTTTTGATGTTGTCGAGGGTATAGAATTATCTTTCGGAGTTAATGGACAGGTGAAAGGAGAATTTTCATTAAATAAACTTTCCATATCATCTGTGATCAAATCAATTATATTACTAAAATCCACTTCCAATTTTTTTTTATTCAACTCTGTGTTCACGGCTCCCACGGCTGATTGAAAATTCACTTTAGGCCAAGAATAATTATTCTTTTCTTGAAAAGGACGTAAATCAACAATATTAGTCGTATTCAATTCTAAATTTTGATAATCGAACAGAGATAGAAGCCAATTGTTATATTCCTGCTCACTGATGTAAATTGAATTGTCTAAAATAGACAGAAAATCCCGTTCCATATTCCCTAATAACTCTAATGGTATACCCGACATTTCAGACCATGATTTGTTTGAATATGTAGAATCTTCGAGCCATTTATGAGCTAATATCAATCCAACCACGAGCAGGACAAATTCCGGGTCATAAGGATATATATCAAAATCTTTACCGCTTGATAGAATCCTTTGAACATATTTAAGCATTATTATTACCACGGGACCTAAACAATCTGTGGTTTTGATAAGCTATTATAAGAAAAAAAAAATTTTTTTCTTTCCCTGTTAAGAATTATTTTTAAAAATAAAATAAAATAAAATAAAAACATACAATTTACCTACCTTATAACCAAACTCTTTAAAGTCCTCACCAAGATTTAACTTTTGTGGTAATTTCGGCAACATACGCCAGATAGCTTCAGTCGCGAAATTTGCCCATTTTAAATGCATGTCGGTGGTTTTTTCATGATCAACAGCCACCACAGTTTTTTCGACGTTAACTTCCTCTCGTTTTTGACGCGCCGATAATTCCGGATGAAGAAATAAGGAACAATAATATTGTTCTGGATTTGGAAAGGACAATGAACCATCAAATAAGATTTGAGTGATAGGTCCAAATTTTACCCTTCGATTATCTTTTGCGATCATATATCTAAAATATGGAAAGGTCCACCATTCTGGTGAAGGAGCAGGAGAATTGCGAGATGAAAAGGAACTCTGAGAAACAGCCGGTAATTTCAAAGTTGAACTCAAAGTGGGTGAGTATTTGAAATTTAAATATGAAGTGAGCATTGAATAAGTTGGAGAGAGAAATTTCAATGTAACCCGATAGTCCTTTGAGGTATGAGTGGATTGCAATTTCAAAGGTGAATTTGAAAAACGCAAGTGTGTTGGTAAAGTATTCGTAGAAGTTGGTGATGGGAAATATTATTTTTGCATTATTTTCGTAAAGAACATTTGATAAATTTAAACCGGGTGAGATCGACTTCAAATAAATCAAAAACTTGAAATAAAAAAAAGGGAAAATTGAAAAGATATTGGTAAAGAATGAAAAAGAGATTTAACTCTTTTCAATTAACTTCAAAAATATTGAAGCCCTCTTGAGAAACAATAACAAATGGACGGAAAGGACTTTCACAGAATATACCAATTAACAAGTATAGTAACGTATGAACTGTGACTAACGCAAAGAGCTGTTGGCCACCGAAGGAATATACAATGTATTTGAACGGAACGTCTAAGAAAACGGCAAAGACTAAAATCCGTTTTAGTGAGGTCAAGAGTTATTGTCACCGAAATCGTAAACCTTATATCTTTTTTTTTATTGTGCTAGTATGAAGAATGCCTAAATTGGTTAAGTGAAAATGTCCGATTGATTGGTCGTAACAAACCCATTGTACCGAATCATCCATAAAAAAAAAAAAAAAAACTCCTTTTACATGTGTAACGTTTCATAAATCGACTCAAAAAATTTTAGAGGCTTTTTTCTTTTAAGAACAAAAAACTCTTGTTTATAACACGTTTTGAACAGTTTGCTGAAGTCAAAAAAAATAAAAAGAAAAATTTATCTCCGACGAAATTTTGGCGCAAACTTTTTACATTTAATTGTTACGCGACAAAATGACCCAAAATAGTTCCGGGTAATCCCAATATTTGATAAAGATGGTTAAAGGTTGAATGTATGCATATGCATATAATACTCGAAAAAAATCATATTCTATAGTTATTACAAAATGATGTTTTTAATACAAAATATTGTTCCACCCCGTTCTGTTAGCTAAGATAAAAATAGTTAATGATTCACGTGTAACTACATATTTTGAAACATAATGAATTATTTGAAATAACCACCAAAAATGTTTCGTCTCAATAAATGAGCTCAGTAATCCCTAACTTTCAGTTATCAGAAATTGGGTTTTTGACGCGTCTTATATATATTGTTGTGATTTGACAGTTTAATACATGTAATAAGATCCTACTTGCATTTGATTTTACTTATTTCAAACTCCTGCATCTTTGTTTAGTTTATACCTTATGTATCGTACATCCTTCACAGGGAATCTTTTCAAATGATATTTATTATACAAATACAAATAACAATTTCTTCTTATTATTAAGTCCGTCGTTACACTAAAAAAAAAGATGATTTGGCTAACCGATCGAAAAGTTGCTGTTCAAAAAAATATCAAGTAAATTGCTTCGACTCGGGTTCGAACCGAGGACATTAAGCGTGTAAAGCTTACGTGATAACCACTACACTATCGAAGCCTTATGTGTATTGTGTCTTTAATAATTCTCTCAAATAGAACAAAGAATAAAATTCGATACGTTGTTAGGAAAACCCCCTAAAAAAAGAATGGAACCGTAAATAGAAAATTATTTGGTAATCATCGAATAATGAATTTAAAAGACAGCTTATTTTGTAACCATCATGTGAAATTATGAAATTCGAATATCGTAAACTTTTCTGAGAGCATAATAATGACGAACGAGGTAAATAACCTTAATTTTAGCAAATCACAAAAAGCTTTTAAAAAGTCTCTTGTTCTAATCTTCCGAAAAAAAAAAAAAAAAAAAAAATAATGAAATAATGAACCATCAAATCTTAACTCGAACAATTCAAAATCTTATTGACTCAAATTCTTTTTTAACTACTATCGAATCATGTACTGGAGGTCTTATTGCTCATCTTGTTACTGACGTTCCTGGAACAAGCAATGTCTTTTGGGGTGGAAGGGTCGTTTATAACAACTCTGCTAAAATAGCTTTGGGCGTTTCTCCTGATTTACTCGAGACTTATGGTGCCGTGTCTCAAGAAGTCGCTCTTTCCCTAGCTGAAAATGGACTTTTTGAATTACAAAAATTCTCGAATCAAGATAACCGTTTGATTTGCATTGCTACCACCGGTATTGCTGACCCTAGAGAAGAAAGCTCTCAAAAACTTGGTGGACTATGCTGGATAGGGATAGCCTCAACTGCTCATCCTCCATTTGCTGTGCGAGTTGAAGCTTCTCCTCACCATTCAAGAGAAGAAACAAAACTTGAATTTGCAATGAAAGCATTTGAACTAATTAAAGGAAGTCTTGAATTAAATGTTAATTATGTTACTTTAGAGAGAGTGAAACTTTGAAAGTCATCAATGTTTGATTTGCCGTGTAGGAGTAATTTATAGTAAATCCGATCAAAAAGTTGTCAATAAAATCTATAATAGTATATTTTATTCAATTTTGAAATTTCTCTTATTTTTAAATAAACTTTTTTATTTTTTACTTTATAATTAATCATAATAGAAATACATAACAGAAAAATTAATTTCTAAAAGAATTTCTTTATTGAGCGGTTGAAGTCGATGGTTTCTTTTTCTTCTCTGCCTCTGATTCTTTTTCCTTTTCGATCTCATTAACAATAGCTTCAACTTCTTCAATTTCCAAATTCTTACGGTAAAGAAATTTTTTTATGGTATTAGTATATATGTCACGATAAAACCAAAATTAATGGAAAGAATATATGCTATCATTTACCTTCTTACTATCACATGTCATGACTGCAATCTCAATATTTTTGGCACCAGTTTGCACTACCTAAAAATACAAAATACATGTTGAATTATTCATGATTATGAAAAGCTCGAATATATAAATTGCTTGTAAAAAAATCTACCTCCAAAAGAGATTTAACTGCTAATTTGATTGATCCTTCTTTCGATAGTCCCTCCTTATAATTCTTTTCCAAAAATTCACGGACGGTTTTCGAACTTCTACCAATTGCGTTCGCCTGAAATAGTTTTTAACGCGTATTTATAAAAAATGAAAAAAAAAACTATTAACAAGTTGCAGTAATGAAAGACAGAAAATCCCGAAAAAGCCGATTTGAATCTAATACCTTCCACGCGGAGTATATACCCGACGGATCGGTTTGATAAAGCCTTGGCTTTTTGTCATTTACGTCAAATCCAATAATAAGCGTTGAAATTCCAAATGGTCGAACTCCACCACTTTGTGTATATTTCTAAGGCGCAGAAGGAAAAATAGATGTATTAGAATATTTATTTATTTATCGATTTCGACTTGGCTTAATGTTTTTAACTTTGCGTACCTGTTGAATTCCGGCAATGTAGGACGTAATATATTCTATCGTCACTGGATCTTCCAAGGAGAGTCTATGACTTTGACATTCTACTCGAGCTTTATTAACAAGCACCCTCGCGTCTGCACTAAGACCTATCATTTGATTTTGATACCTAAATTAATTATTCAACTAAAACGAAATAAATACAAATAAGATATCTTACCAGCAAAGGCCATACACACGTGGTCATCGAGCATGACAATCTTACGCACGGTTCGAGGGTCTTGTAATTTAAGTACAGACTTCTTCTCCACACCAAGAACTACACAATCCTCCCCAACAACTCCAACCTATATGAATCAAAACAAATTAGAAATAATGAAATGTAATCATGATCTATATATCGTTGTTAAAAATAAGAATTTCACGCGACGTTGGACTTTCTCCATTACGGTACGTAAAAGAACCAATATCACGCTGAAACCAACTTTATTATTTAGTTCTACCAGTACATACCGCACACGTTCCTTTCCTCACAGCTTCCAAGGCATATTCGACTTGAAATAAATGACCGTCTGGTGAAAAGACGGTCAGCGCTATATAGATCGAATTTTAAAATTTCGTAAGTATTAAGTTTCTTTAACTTCATACAGAACAAGTTCAACACTCGATAAATCCTACCGCGATCATAAGAGTTGCTACTCATAATGTCTTGAGAGTTGTAAGGTATGCAAAAGTGGTGTGTTGAATATTCGAAATATCAATGTTCCAAGAGGTTGAACATCCCATTTTAAAAGATCAGATAATTTAGCTAAAATCATACGTCACGTGTTTTGTTCACCCAATTGGAAATTAGATTACGAATTTACCAAGTCAACGTAATTTTAAATGGAATCACGTGAAATCAGAACCGAATTTTATTTTAATCTCTTTTTCAAAATGAGTAATTTTGATTGCAAAGAACAGACAAATTCACAAGGAATTTACGAGTTTCAAATTGATAATGACACAACTTTATTTATAAAGCAGCAAAACAACACTTTAAATCATGGCACCACAATATGGGAATCTTCCATTATAACTGCACAATACATGCAACAACTTTTACGTTCTTCCGATAATAAATTAAAATCAAAGAGATGCATCGAATTGGGAAGTGGATGTGGTCTATTGGGTTTAAATATGTGTTCCATGGGATTACAAACTACTTTAACAGATTTAGAAGCCGTATTGGTAGATGTTCTCCAAGACAATGTTAAACATAACTTATGGATTTTAAATCAGAATAGGATAGAGAACAATTCTCCCTTTATTGCGCAAGCGAAAATTTTGGATTGGACTGTAACCCAATTAATACCTCCGGAATTTACACCACCTTATGATTATATAGTTGCGACCGATTGTGTATATTCTATAGAACTAATTTCTCATTTTGTTCGATGTTTAAACGAATTAGCTAATGAAAAGACTTTAATCTTTTGTGGTTTGGAAAGAAGGGATCCATTTGTCGTTGAAACTTTTATAAACGCGTGTAAAGGAGGTTTCTACGTGGTCAAAATACCTGAAAAAAAATTGAGAAAAATGATTTATAAAAATGCAAACAATGAAATTACTGTAGAAATTTATCGATTAAAGAAAAAGAAACAATTAAATAAATAAAAATCGAGCCAATCATAAGATAGAATTTTTTTTTTGTTATAATTGATCACGCGTCAATCCTATCTTTGATAATTGACATTTTTTATAAGAAAGAATATTATAATTTAGGAATGCCAAATGATTATTAATTTGTATTGTAATATAATATAAACGTTACCCCATTTTTTTTTGTATTGAATTAATTGTTATCTATAGAATCATACGGTTCATGATGTGTTTAATATAGTGTTGAATGAAATAAGATAAAAAAAATTACATTTTATTAAACTATCAAATAAATTACGAATTAATACATTTTGACCAATTAAAATCTACAATTAATCGTTTTTAAATACGAGCATTCACAATAGTAACGAACTCTGGCTTCAAAGATGCACCTCCCACGAGGAATCCATCGACATCGGTTTGTTTTGCTACAAAAGATGTGGAATTTCATTAGAATGTTATTCATATCTGGATATCAAACGAACAAAATTCTATCATCTTACCAAGCTCTGCGGCATTAGAAGCATTTACGGAACCTATATTAATTGATTACCGAAGATTGATTTGTTAGAAGTGAGACCAAATTAAAATTTGAAGAGGGATTCCTTAACCCATTACCTCCATAAATAATACGTGTATTTTCGGCTGTAGCTTCTGACGTATTTTCCTTTAACCATTTTCGAATAAACTCATGAACTTCTTGAGCCTACCACAAAAAAGAGTATTATGATTATAATTAAAAATTTTTTTTCAAAAGTAATAATTACACTTAAATGAATCAAAAAATAATGCGTACTTGCAGAGGAGTTGCTACTTTTCCCGTACCAATCGCCCAAACTGGTTCATATGCGATTACGACATTCGTCCAATCGTTAACCACCTTGGCGATTGATTGAAGTTGTCGAGTTACAACTTCAAATGTTTTACCAGCTTCCCGTTCATCTAGTTTTTCTCCAATACAAGCGATCACTTTTAGACCAGATTTTAAGGCAAATGCTACCTTTGATGCAACAAACTAACAAACCATCAAAATTTTACGTCGTCATTAATAACAGGTCGAATCAAATAAAAAAATTTGAAAACCAAAAGCTCTTAAACGTACATCATCAGATTCTTTAAAAATCTCGCGACGCTCTGAATGTCCGAGAATGACCCACTCGATACTTAGGTCCTTTAATTGTTCAGGGCTGTCATTTTCGTAAAGCAAAGGGTAGATTATATTTAATATTACGAAGACAACTTTGAAAGCACGGAAATACAAAGAGTCATACCTGATCTCCCCAGTATAAGCACCACTCGTAGCGTTAAAAGCATTCTGTGCTGCAACACCGATTTCTTTACGAACTTGTTTGCGACACTGATCGAGATATAATGCAGGTGGCGCGATTACCACTTCTACATTTATCAAGGAGAAAATAAACATGATATACCACATGAGATAAGTAATTCCAAGTTTCTTACAACTTTCAGCAATCTGAAAAAATAAAAATTCTAACCAACGTTATCATCTAATTGACCAGCATTTAAATTGTCAATCAGATTTTTAAGAAAGGTTTGTGTTCCATTCATTTTGAAGTTACCTTTAAAAAAGAAAAGAAAAGAAAATTAGCATAGCAAATTCAAAAAAATGTCGGACACATGAAAAGTCATCCGATAGCAACTTACCACCTACAAAAAATCTACGACCCATGGCTATAATATTTTATTAGAAAAGAATATATATAAAGATTAAATCGCTTGTAAACTAAACTTTTTGAACAAATTATTTTGGGTATATTTTTTTTTTTTAATATGGTTTTGGGCTCCTTTATATACCTTTTCATCTATATAATCAGATAATCCAGAACTTTAAAAATTATTTAAAATTATTGGATAATCATCAACAAACTGTTCCCTTTTTATCTAATATGCACAAGGATATGATGCAACATTCGATAACAACATACGATAATTACGATCAATCCGCAGCCAAATTTTATTTCATATGAAGAGTCATGTGAATTATGAATATTATGAATCATTTATAATTTATAAGATTAAAATAAGTAAATTTAATTTATTGTTTTTCTTTTTTGTTTTTTTTTTTTTTTAAAAAAAAAATTAATTATTTAATTAATTAATAAAAAAGAATAATTAAAAATAAAAAAAAATTAGTAAAATTAATGTAAATAATTTTTTTTTTTTTAATTTTTTAATCAATTTTCGATCAATGTAATATTACATATGTTACATAATAAAATATGTATAAATTCAATTCATTCATAATGAGAATTTTTCACTCAACTTTCCCCAAAAAATATTCAATAATAAATAAAAGTATAAAACTTTCATCGTTTTAATTTATCGAAAGTATAACTTTAATTTCTTGACAACTTTGTATCCAAGGTAAAGCTTGTCCCAATAAATGTCTTCATTGTGCTTTCTCGAGATAGACATGTAGTTATGTAAAAAAGAAAGACGGTTATTATGGAATAATTTCCATAAGTTTTACGCGTCTTGTTTTTACAACTATTTCATATCTACTTTACCAAAAACCTTAGTTAAAATCATGAAAATCCGTCATCTCCTTCATGATGAGTTCGATTCTTCTCAAGAAACATTATCCCCATTTGACTTTCAACAAGTTAGCCCATCGTTTCTTATATCTTCCGATAAACAACAATCAAGTGAGATGTTACTTGATCAAGGATCCTCTAGCTATGATTTTGCCAAACCCAAAGAACTCATGTCTCCTTCGATCCAAAAGTATAGCGCTAATGAGATTGAATTGCCACAATTTTTTAACGAGGTTTCATCTGTCAGTTTTGATAATGAAGAGAAAGAGACTTCAAAGTCCAACTCTTTTATTGAACTTCCTCCCCTACAATCGTTGTCAAACTTCACCACCAACCTACATTCATCTTTTAATTCTCCATTCCTTGTTCCCTCCAAGGAAGATATATTACTTAAAGATCCTGATTTGTGGTCTCAATTTTATCGCGTCGATAATGAAATGATTATCACAAAGGCTGGAAGATGCATCTTTCCTTTATTAAAATTTCAGCCTGTAAATTTAAATCCTACCGTAAATTATTCTTTTGTGATTGATTTTGTCCAAGTATCAGCAAACCGTTATAGATATAAAAAAGGAAATTGGGTTTGTATAGGCCTGGATAAACGTAGATTTTTATCAAACAACTTTAACAAGCAAGGTGGTAAACTACTTAAAGTAGGCTCAGTTTGTGGAAATCCATACACTCATCCGGATTCTCCGCAATCAGGTAAAAGAGCGAGAAAACTACTACCATCTCGTTTATAAATATATCACGTGATCACCTAAATTTTTCTCTTCACAATCTATTTAGGTGCTTATTGGATGAATTTTGGCTTAAACTTTCCGAAAATTAAACTTACAAATCGTATGCGCCCAAGTCCATCCAAAGCAAAGAAAAGGAGAAGAAATGACTTGGTTTCAAATAACAATATGTCACTCCCCGCGGGTCATTTTTATCTTACCACTTTCCACAAATATCAACCTCGCGTTAAAATGATTAAACATTCAGCTCTTGAGGATCAAGTAGCGTTTTACGCTTTTGAGGAAATGACATTTATCGCTGTAACTCATTATCAAAATGAAGCGGTTAATGCTCTAAAGAAATGTAATAATCCTCACGCTAAAGGATTTAAAGAATCTTTGGATCAAGATGTTAATAATAATACAGAAGGATCCAAAAGTTCCGATTATGAAGATTCCGAAGTTGGTCAATACGATGAAAATAATGAAGTAGACCTTGAAGAAATTAGTGATTCGGAGGAAGATGGTGAATTTTATAATAGTTCGTTATCTTATCCAACGACATCAACTACGAGTCAATCAAATAATTCTACCCTTATAGATCAAAGAATTCAACAATGGAGACAAACTATTAATAATGAAACAATTTCAAGCGATGACGTGTTTCGAACGAATCGTACAAATCTTTATGAAAATAAGGGAGAATTCCGCGCAAAAGTTGTAAAAAATGCTCATAATCCTTTATGTAAACAAAGAATTTATGAACACCCTTCAGAAGATAAGCGATCTGATATTGATATGTATGTAGCCAGTTCTCGACAAATCCCTCCTCCAACTTCGATCTCTTCAAGAAATTTTGGTTTTGATACCTTTTCAAGTTCTGGATATAATAATAAGTTCAGCACAAATTCAGATAATGACCCATATTGGACAGATTATGGTTCTCAATATAAAACAGAAAATATTACATCAAACCGAATTTCAAAACAAAATCAACCAATTATAGTTCAGTCCTTTCCTCATCCAGCTTTCAAATCTACAACACCATCTGTCTTGGCTCAAAGAACTCCATATCCTCGAAAATATGATACAGAAAAAGGTTTGCAGCAACAAGAAGAAATTAGGGCACGAAATACGCATGCTCCCGAATCTCCATTGTCACCTGGAAATATATTCTTTTCAACAATTTCTAACCATACACCATCAAATGTTGAAAATTCAACGTCACATTCAAGTATTCGGCTTGAACAAGTTAAAGATGAAAACAAAAGATTAAGAGAATTTATACGTGAGAGATATGGAGTTGAAGCAGAGAGAGAAGCTGATGTTGTGGTTTCCCTTGGAGGAAACGAATATAAATGATATCAGATTTGCGATGAATTTTAATTAATATTTAGAGTTCAAAGCTAAAAGTATGGTGTGCGTTTTTTCGCTGTTAGTTTTGTCCGATTGGATGGATAATGGATACTTAAGTTTGATACATGAATAAATGTAGAATATTTGGTGAATTTTTTTTTTTTTTTGATAATAACTTCATTCAATAGTGGTATTCGATTGAAGTTTGGCATTAGAATGATTTTATCTTTAATTTCTAGTCATCGTTCTTTATTGAAAACTTTCATTTTTATTTTTATCTTTTTTTATTTTGCTTTCCCGATTTATTTGAAATAATTTCCCCTTTTTTTTAAAAAAAATGTATGATTTCTTAATTAATTTTCTGCTTAGCGTTATATTTACACTGAAATTTTTTTGTTTTATACTGTAGGGATATATGTAATATTACATAAGTATATTCAATAACTGATTGCAATAGATTATAAATTCTTATAGTAAAATAGTAGTAAGTAATAGAAATCTTTGTATTCATCTTTATTATATTATAATAATTAGTTAATTTCATTATAATAATAATACGGGCATTTTTTTAATTCTAATGTCAAAAATGATTCGCCTTTGAATTTAGAGATCCGTGAAAAAAATAATGGGACAAATCAGAAGAGAGGTGCGATTGTTTCAAAATTATTTAAATTTCAAAATCAATTTCACGAGAATTTACTTACTTCTATTACAATTCCAAGATAAATTATGCTAAATTGATTGAGCAAAAGTATCCGAACATAACCGGATGTCCGTTTGGAATCTGTGATTAATATAGACTTTATAATTCTTTGAACTTTGTGATTTATAATTGCTAATAAAATCAAGATTTTCCGGATCTCTATTAAAAGCGGGAGATGGGATTTTTTTTTTTTTAATAAAGAAAAGAAAAGAACACTTAATAACTTACCAATGGATTTAGATTTACTTATTCCCATTTTTTACATGAGATGAACTTCTTTATGGGTCCTTTCCACTTTGCGAAAAAAATTTCTTTTTATATTAAATTCTTTATGTCACAAACCCAAGCATTTTTTCAGCAACCTTGGGACCTTTGCGGACAACTTTAACAATACATTCCGCCTCTACTCTTCATTTGATCTTTAAGCAGGAGCGGGCAATAACTTGAAGTAAGAAACCTTTCCCGAACCAACAATTTAGTCGCGTAAGAATGATAATGGGTTTTGAACTTTGACTAAAATTAATTAATTAAAATAAAAAGAGATAACAACCACTAGCTTTATGCTCCTCAGATTTATAATTTAAAAAGAAAAATATGTTGAAAAATATGGATCAAGACAAAAAAATTATTTTTGAAGGGATGAGCAGATTGATTACTTGATAAATACTGTTTAAGAAATAATATAATAAAAAAATACTAAGTTATTAAATAAAACTCTTTTTTGTCCAAAAAATAAAATAAAAATAAATTATGGAATATACAGGAGTTGGCGCGTAAACGATTGATTCCCATGTTTCAAAACAAATGATTTTGTTAATCTATAAATAAATTACTGTACATTCATACAGTAGATTAATGATATTAGTTTAATCCCTAACAAAAAGTGAAACCCGATTGATCCTTTGATCTTCATCTTCGACACCTTAATAAAGTTGGTCCCAGATAATAATACTAAAGTCTTTTGTAGACGTAATATTTGATAAATGCATATAATAAAATATATTTATATGGGAAATGATCAATATTCAGGTAATCCAATATTGAATAAAATCCGATAACTCGTTGCCATTAATAAAATCGCTCAAAAATGTGCTTTTACGAAATCGTTCAAATTACTCAAGAGTTAACGATGAGCGTCGATGGCGTTAATGTTTTGTTTTGATTAGATTTGAAAGGATATGCATTATGAAATATTTGGTAAAATGAATATTTAGAAATTGCCTATTGTGATGATCAGAATGATCAAACTGTTTCTTGTGTCAAACGAAGTTATGGTGGCAATTTCCATAGATCAAAAGATGTTGAACAGTACATATGATCAGTAATGTAAACAACACATGATAAATGCTCGATTATTATAAATATAACTTCGTTTCGCCTTTCATATTTCGCATCCGGTCAACAAAAAGTTATTAAAAGAGCAAGCAAAATCAAACCAAACAAGTTTTCATAATTTAAAATGAATACGATTAATATTATCAATGCTAAACAATCAGTTGTCATTGTTGCCTCGAAAGTAACAGAACGATCCAATCCTACAAATCAATGCTCTATCATGTAAATGCTCTCTCAGAAAAGAAAAAAAGAATTATTCTTTTCAGAAAACGAAAATTTTATCAAAAGTTGTTCTATTCTATCATTCATTTTTAATTTTGTTAAAAAAAAAAAAAAAAAAAAAAAAAAGAATAATAATTTAATACTATTTCATTCTAATAATTTATATTTATTGATATAATTTATTTTTTTCATTTAAATCATTCTAATAAACATTCATAAATATTGAATTTGATTTTAATGACTATAAACTTCATTCGCGAGAATTTCGTTTTATCTTCCTTGATAGAAATTGCAAAATGTATTAATATTTAATCTTCAGATATCTTTTAATTTCCAAAACTTTAGTGATGTAATTCGACAAAAAAATTTTGAAAGTTATCTAATTAGACTCGTCCAGTTATAAAGATATCAAACATTTTATCAAATTATTTAAAATTAATAAATTAACGTGTAAAAAAAAAAAAGAAAATTCCAACTTTATACGGGTGTATGAAATCAAGTGTCAAGCAGGCAGACAACAGAACACGTGTAATAAGTTGCTTCGCTCTGGACTAAAAATTGTTTCCATGACCAATGATAAAATAGTGGCACATGACTTGGAATTTATAACAAAAGAAAATTATTTTTATTTTAATTCAAAAATACATAAATAATTTATAAAAATACAAGTTAAAGAATTATCAGAGCACTGCATAGGAGGAGAATACTCTGACCGAAAGCCATTTGTATTCTTAACAATCTCCTCTAACGAAAATTATTAGTCGATTATTCACATAATATATATATTTGCTAAATTCTTATTTTAGCTCATAAGAAATAAATATGTTTTCTGAATCTCATGATCCATCACCATGATAATTTTAAATAATTCCCTTTAACATTCTTTGTAACTTCATAAATTATCAATTTTATATACACAAAATATATACTAATAAATATTCACTTTACAAATTACGCGAAAACACTAATAATCAAAGATGCGAAGACTACAATCAAACTCATTGTAACTCCCCACAAGCTGTGGCTATTAAATTCGTGTAATCTTATCGTCGTACTCGACAGGTCTTCATCAACCGCAAGAGTGACTGGTGAGACCATTGTTTTTACCACAATTACAGTGGATGGAGGAATGTATGTTGCGAAGGTTGTAATTTTTCCTAAAGAGTTAGTAGTTGTAATTGTTGTGGTATAACCGGCGTAATATAATGTAACTGTGGTTGTGATTGTTGTATAAGACGTTATTTTATGTTGCTTCTTCTTTTCATCATTATTTTGATTTTTTTTCTTCTCATCTTTATTATCACCTTTATTCCCATCATTATTCCCATCATTATTCCCATCATTATTCCCATTATTCCCATTATTTCCATTATTTCCATCATTATTCCCATCATTTTTCTCATCACCATTATTATTATCTGGAGTTGGCATTATTGTTTCTATTGATGTTTGCACAGATGTCTCAACTATCGGAGTGCTATTAATGGAAAGGTTTTTAGTAAATAAAATAACATCATTATTCATTGCATATAATATTCACTTACACTCCTGATGGAGGTTTGCATCGTGGATCATTGGGAGAAGCGCATGTTTCTATTGGTGGTTCAGGCTCTTTCGGTGTCTCGGGCTCTTTTGGTGGTTCAGGTTCTTTCGGTGGCTCGGGCTCTTTTGGTTCAGGCTCTTTCGGTGGCTCGGGCTCTTTTGGTTCAGGCTCTTTCGGTGGTTCGGGTTCTTTTGGTTCAGGCTCTTTCGGTTGAGGCTCTTTCGGTCCGGGATCTTTTGGTTCGGGATCTTTTGGTTCTTGTCGTTTTCGAAGAATGCTGATCGAATCCTTCAGTTCATATGTTGGAGAAGCATCATTAACGGCAATAAATACTGCTATAAGGATTATGATAAGTAAACAAAGATGCTTGCATTTGAGTTTAATATAAGACATCTTGAGTCAATTGAAAAATTAAAAAAATTAAGAATTATTTTTCGATCATTTCGAGAAAAAAAAATTTTGAAATCTTGTTATTGATTATCGTTTATTAATACTTTATAAATTACCAAATTCGTCGTTATCCACGAAAATCATTTGTACAACTTAATTATCCCTTTTTTATAAGGTAATGAATCAAAATACTAATTAAGTAAAGCCATAGTCGTCATATAATTTATTTATTTATTTATAAATTCGTTGTATACTAAAAATAATGATAATAGAAATAGAAATTCTAATGGATATGTGGCGTGAATTAAATTAATATTATTTGATTACTCGATTATCATTTTTTTTTCTTAAATGATAATCATAATCAGTTAGTTTAGTTCTTAATATATTTTAATAAAGAACACTTTTGTGAAAAAACTTTATTTCGTCGAAATTAAATGTATCACCGATAAGCCACATACTAGGATTTCCGTTTGATAGAATCAAAGTTTTTGATATTCGAATTTCGAAATTCAAATTAATTTACAAGATCAATTTTACTAAGAAGTTTCTAACACTAAGGCAAAAAAAAAAAATCACGTTTATCCAACATAACGTTCTCGCATCACTTCCGACGACTTCCCACTATATCAATATTTTCAACTTCATTTAACTTCTTCCCTTTATCTTAATCCAAATTCTGAAGTGAATTCTTGCGTATATGAATAAAAAATTGGAGACTCATTACCTAAGGTAGAGAGAGGGCCTAAAATCTACCGGTTAAGAATAGTAAATTGCGAGATTAAGATTTTTTTTTTTTTTATCTTAGAGTAGAAAAGAGTCCTATTTATTCTCCTAATCGAGATCTGTATTTTCGTCATACAGATTTTTTTTTTATGCTACTTTATTTTATTTTTGAATCAAATACTCATAAAGTCCCGACTAATGATCATCAAAACACTTGACAATCTTTATGGCAAGAATTGCTCGCAAATTTAAGATAATCAGTAATAGTATTCCAAAATATTAATCTAATGTAAATCTACTCTTAATCCTACTCCTACTGCTCCCATTCTATTCCTATTCGGAATCCTTGTAATATAATATCTAATAGATTACCTTTTATATTTGTTAAAAATGAAAGATATATTGCTATTTTTCTATACCTTTTTTTAATCCACGTGAAAAACTCGATTTCCTTAAATGTATAAATTATATGATGTAATGCGTTCATTGAGCAATTTCCTTAATGCTTATTTTTTCACACTTCTTTTTTCCAATAAAAATTAGATTTTTGTTTGTTTTTTTCTTCTGAAATCATGGCATCTAACTTACAGGTCAGGTTTAAAATTTTTATTTATTCATACTTCATTTTTCTCCAAAAAATGATAAAGATTCTTTCTCAAGTTAAACTTTTTTTTTCTTCCAAAATTTCATAAGAAAAGAAATCTTTTTTCCTACCAAATCTTACAAACAATCTGATCTTTTTTTTCATAAATAAAAAATAAAAGAATTCCTTTTCAAATTTTCAAAGAAAAAAAACTTTTTTTCATAAACAAACAAAGGGTATATAATAAACCTGTATAGTACAGTTAGCAATGTATGTATAATATAATTTTTTTCATATATTTACAGTATTAGAAACCATACAAGTATGGACTATTTGTTATGAATAAACTATATATGTATAGTTTTTAAAGCATACATACCATATATATATTTAAGAAAAATCATATAATACATAAATTATTAATTATACTGTATAGATTTGTATAATACTCATAAACAAATCAAGTTAAAAAAATCTTTTCTAAATTCTACAAATAAAAAAATAAAATTTTACTCTAAGATTCTGTAAACAATTTATCTTTTTCATTTAAATCTCATAAGAAAAATTCTCCTTTCAAATTTTATAAAAAAAACTTTTCTTCTAAATTTTCTTGAATTAACAATTCAAATTTTCTAAAAGAAATTAAATCTAAAAAAAATCTTTTTATATAAAATCCTCTATCATTTTTTTTTTTTTTTAATTCTTTTTTTTTTTTTAAAAAAAAAATTATAACTAGTCAACCTTATTTTTTTAACTTCTTTTTTTAAAAAAAATATTAATATTATACTGGCAAAATTAATACTATAACCTATATTCATATTATAATAAAAAAAATTGCATTAGAATATATAATTAAATAAATGATCAAAGTCACATGTTTAAATGATAAAGACTTAATAAAGATAATTTACTTAAAGATAAAAGCATTTATCCCTATCAATCAAAGTATCAAAATATATACAGTCAACTCTTGATATAGCAAACTATTGATATAATGAATTTTTTGAACAAATATAATAAAAATACTCTTGTTATAGCGAATTGGCCAATTAAATCTCTTAAAATCTTCATTATAGCCTTATAGCGAAGTTGAGGTTTAGGATATAGAGTTTATTATAAAAAGAATTGATTGTATAGAAAATTTTGAATCTGATCAAATTATCTATTTAAGAGAAAAATTTATTACCTAAGCTTTATATATTATATGCTATAATTTTTTTTTTTTAAAAAAAATAATTACCTTAAATAAAAAATATATTATATTTTTTAATTGTTAAAGTTAATATAATCTTAATAAAATTTATTATTGACTTAGACTTTAAGATTATACTAGTGAAATATAGTAGATTTAAGCTTAATTAGTTGATTTTTAAAATAATCATCATATATAAATTTATGTAAAAAGATAATCAACTAATTTTAAATAAATTCATAATTATAGATAATATTATTATAAAATATTGATAGAATATTGATGGAATATAGATAGGATAGATAAAACTTTTAGGACATAGATAGAATAGATAAGATATTTGAAACATAATATGAGACAAGTTATGGCAAATAACTAGAATAGCAAATCTCTGAAATATCAAAAATGTACATTACTAGTTACAAAATAAATTTGTAAAAATTGTGATAAAAAAAATTTTTTAAGTATACCTTCTATTTAGAAACTATTAAAGTAATTTGATAAAAAGTAAAACTTAGCTAATAAAAATTTCTTTGCAATATATTATTTTATATATATATATATAGAAAGAGAAAAAAAAGAGATTAAGATTTAGATTATACTTTAAAATATACAATCATCTCTCTCTATAATCACCTTCTGTTCAATCACATCATATAAATCCCTTATTATAAGTACACATTTTGTAAGAATCATTATCTATTAATACTATATAAAAATTCCTTTATAATCACAATGATTTGTAATCACACAGTTTCAGAACTAACACTTAATAACAACATATAAAAATTTCTCTGTATAGTAATTTTTTATTATAATCACACTTTTTATTTTTAGTCTTGAGGGGTATGACTCTAAAGAGAAATAACTGTATATTAATATATATTTTTTAATATTTATTTATTTACATAGAAAGGTAAGTAATATATTTGTATTTTAAAAAGTTATATAATTTGATATTTAACTAAGATATTTATAAATTACTTAAAAGTTTTCTTATTTACTAATATATAAATAAAAAAGAAAATTAGATTATTTCTAATAAATAATATATAATATGAAACTATTTTTCATTTTTAACTTTATTGTATAATTTGATTTAAAATTTTAAATCAAATTACTAATAATAAATTGTAATTTAGATATTTTTTTATATTAATATAATTTAATAAAAATTATTTTGATTTTTTTCTTATTTTTCACTTAATAAAGATTATATAATAATATTTTCACATTGTTACTGGGTTCGTTTTCATTTATCTTAATGTTTAAGTTGAGAGGCTGCAGCAGCTGATTCTACACATTGGAGTTTCTGACCTTAGGATTTTCTCTAAGTCCTACAGATATCCATTATACTAGAATCAACTCGGCAATTTATCACGTCTTAGAACTTAAGATATATTAGTCGAACTCGTAATGACGAACTCAATAGCAAGTTAGTGTAGTGTATCATAACAATCCTAGGTGAAGGACAACGTTAAAGGGAAAAAGTAGTTTGTGTAAATTTAAATTGATTCCTTTATTTATATCTTAAAACTCGCAAAAGAGTTTATAAATGAGTTTATAAACTTACAACTGAG